CAATGACTCTTAGTTCTTAGTAACTTAATTCAATACTTGAAGCATTCTTTCTTGTGATTATTTAACATTTCGCTATCCTCAATAAAACAATGTTGCTATGATAAGCTAAGCACTCAATAACGGGGATGAATCTGTACAGAACAAAGAAACATACTCTTCAAATATTGAACCATTAGTAACTGAATAATCCAACCTGTTAACATCGTTAATGTAGCCTGGAACAGGCTTGTAAGAAGTTAAACCTTGAGCAATATTTCTTAACTTGCAAGCAGCTCTAACAGTTTGATAGTAAAATCATGGCTCCCGTGAAATATCCCTTCTGCCTATTCCATAATATACTGCTACAGCAACTAAAATGATAAACAGAATGAACCACAAGTTCAATCCTGCAAAATCACACAATTTGATTGGCAAGTGAGAACAGTTAAATGGCTTGCACCAAGAATGACGAACAAAATGGATGACAAGTTAAATACTGATAAACACTTCTCAGACATGCTTCTGACTGTATGATTAAATATGCAAAGGTAACAAGATATAGGAAACTTATGAGAATCCGATGGGGATCAATCCTCGATAAAATAACATTTTCATCATTGCAAAGGTCCTTGATTATTTGCAGAAGGATAAAATTCCCGATATTACCACTTTTTCATCAAATTAATATTGCTAACGACAAAGATCAAGGAGGGATCATACCATCTTTCTTCTTATCCTTGATCAGTGTTACCCGGGCACTTGAATCTAGGGATGCCGAGAGCAGAGCCCTGTCAAAATGGCGTACTTGAGCATTAGTTTACATTTACAAAAGAAGCAACTAGAGCTGTTTGAAAGGTTGCCTGCCAAGTATAAGACTTTACAACCTTGAATCTTGTGAGAATCCTAAAGCTGTTACAAGGCCAAGATGTACTTTTCTGACTACAGTCTGCACCCGCGTACTTACAGAACTTATGATCCAAATGTCTCCTTGTATTGTTCCTCTGCATGTTTATTATTTGGAAATGGTGAAGCGAATGAAAAGAGTTGAAAAAAGCTAGACATTTTTTCCAACTTTATAAGGTTGGGTTGAGATTATTAGCTAATCCATACATCATTTTTAAGTGAGAAAGTACATCGCCTATGAAAATCTCAGTTTGTTTTCACAGGATACCTGTCTTAACAAAAATGTACTTAGATAATTGATTAAACTACATTAGAATGCACACTTCACCGCTTTAGCAGTCAAAGAGGTGGCACTTTTTGCAGAGTGAAAAAACCGTTAGTAATAATCATTATGGTATCTTCACTATAGAAAAAAGGAAGACATGAAAATAAAAAGTTTCTTACACTACAAGGAGCTTTCCATCAGATGACACATTAAATGCAGAAATTGGGTCCCGGACAATGTGTGTAGAACTTATCCTCTTCCATGAAGTAGTGTTCCATTTCACAATACTACCACCTTTACCTACGTAAGCAGAACAGAATTTGTTAGGAGTTGTTGAAAAAAGCACTTCCTATGGGTAGGACAGATGCATTGCTAGAAGATACCCACTTCGCATTGCGGTAACATACAGGACCAGATTCGAGTCACCAGATCGGGAGAACTTACAAAACCCGAAAATCTCATCCTGGTGTAGGTGAAACAATTCCAGTCAGAAAATGAAAGTGATGACATAAGAAGTTCAAAAGTTCACAAGAAAATAATTAATCAATAATTATCCATAGTAACTGCATAATTACTAACAGTAACAACAAAATATTATCTAAAACGTTATGATGGCAACTAAATGAACAAAATTTAATGTGCTATT